ACTCCTTTAGGGAAATCCTACTCAGTCCAGTCCTGCCTCCTTACTGTGCCTTGGGTCTTTCTGCATGACCCTCTCTTGCCCACACAGAAAGATAATTTCCCAAAGACTCTGCCACTTTCTGCCTTAGGAGAAATACTTGTTCTGATCTTTACAAACTGTTGGTCAAGAGCCTTGTTCTGTTGGTGGGTTTTTTTGGTTGGGTTTGTTGTTGTTTTTGTTAACCATCTGTCTTTGTGTAATTCTGTAGTGTGAAACCTTTTTCTCAACAATCTTATGCTGTACAGCCTCCGCTGCCATTACCAGGTAGGTAAGGAAATGTACTTCCTTGCTTTGAAATTATATTTCAACTTCAAAAATAGACAACACTTTTAGAAGTTTAAAAATTAGTTAAAAAATATTTTTACCTATTGGAACATTTCAGTGAGCCCAAAATTAATTTTGCTATGATTTCGCCTTATCAGCCATTCCCACCCTTTACTGGGAGAACTGAAAATTTTAAATTTTGTTTTATTTAAAAAAAAATTCCCTGTTTTATGTTGGTTGTTTTGGGGTTTCTTTTCCTCCTGGCTCAGCAGAAAATAAAAGTTTATGTATTTCTACTGTTCTTCTACCATCTGCATGTACTAGAACACTGTTTGCCACAACATGATTACTTTTCCAATTTCTAATTAAGTGGAACAACAGATACCTTTTCCTTCTTGCTTTTCCCATTTTAAGAGGTTAATGGTCATGTTAATGGTGATGCTTCATTCTGATACTAAAGCACTTTATTTTGCTGCTCATTTACAGCTCACTCTAGGTCCTCAAAGTTGCTGAACATGTTTTCTCTGGTGTCAAAACCAGGTAGATTGTCTTTTACATCATTTTAAACCCTGTCAGTGCTGTCTTAGCAACGGTAACTGACAAGCCATTTAGAGCACAGGTAGAGTGAGGACCTTGTGAATAATATTTTTGCATGATGACAGAAGTCATAAGAAAATGTGATTAGTCAGCTTTGACAACGGGTGGTCTATTGGAAAGCTATTACCAACTTCTCTCTTTCTAAATTTTGTTATATAAATCCTGTATGCTTAGGGTTTGAGTCTTCTGCTGGCCTCTCGCCTTCCCCATCAGCACCAGCTTGGCAAGGACGAAGGGTTGCTAGCTCCAAACTTTGGATGTTAGAATTCTCTGCATTCTTGGAACAACAACAAGACCAAGACACAGTAAGATACATACCTGACTTCCACTGTCATTAATATTTGGTCTTCAAGTAGCTCCTGTTCATCATGGATATGTTCTACTACTATATGTGCATGGAAATGCTTGCTTCATTGCTCTGCTGAGAATATAAAGCCATCTTTGGGAAACACAAGATATCCTTCTTTTAGAGGACAGAATTTTCTATAACGGTATCGCCAGCTCTGTGGCATGTGTTTCTGGCCTCTCTTTCCATGGTCATGTGTGTTCTTGTACCACACCTCAAGGCACTGAGGTCATAAGACAGTGGTACAGCCCCTGCTGGGCTATTCTATCAGAGGGCTGGAGCACCTCTCCTGTGACGAAAGGCTGCAAGAATTGGGCTTGTTCAGCCTGGAGAAGAGGAGGCTCCGAGGAGACCTCATTGCAGCTTTCCAGTATCTGAAGGGGCTGCAAGGGTGCTGGGAGAGGACTTTTTACAAGGGTCTGTAGTGATAGGACAAGGGGTAATGGGTACAAATTGAAAACAGGGAGGTTTAGATTGGATATCAGGAAGAAATTCTTCCCGGAGAGGGTGGGGAGGCACTGGAACAGGTTGCCCAGAGATGTTGTGGATGCCCCATCCCTGGCTGTCTTCAAGGCCAGGCTGGATGAGGCTTGGAGCAACCTGGTCTAGTGGAAGGGGTCCCTGCCCATGGCAGGGGGGTTGGAACTGGGTGATCTTTAAGGTCCCTTCCAACCCAAACCATTCTGTGATTCTATGAATCTATGATTCTAGCTGTCTGTTCAGCCTTGGGGGACAGACCCACAATCAGGTAATGGTAAGATCACATGAAGCCACGTATTTCTCTGGTGTGCAAGGAACTTAAATTTGGGGGGCAACTGGGATGAATCTGCATCTATGTATTTCCATGGTGCCACCTATAAAATGTAAGTAGTAAGATCTGCCTGTGTCACTAAACCTAGTGATACTGCATCTTGAGACATATTGGGGATGGGCCAGTTACATTTCCTCTGTCTGAGATAGGGAAGTTCAGAGAAGATGGGAGTATTTGGCTGGTACCTTACTGTGGGTTTTCAGGCAGCTCTTCACAGGACAGGAGCAATGATGTTTGAGTGATCCACGACAGGTAACACTGTCATGAGGCAGTGGTTTAGGAGTGAATATAGGAAAAAACCCAACAATAAGGTTTCAGAAGAAGCAAGAAGCATGGATGTATTGACAGGAAAGAAATAACAGCATGAGCTGGTATTAGAAATATTTCTGCTAATACTTCTGCTCTGCTATAAAGTCCTATCAATTCTTCAGTGACTTCCATTAGTCTTCTGTGAAGAACAATGAATGTTCAGTATTTATTGAACAGTACCGAACAATTTCCTAATTCCGTGTTTTTCTTCTTCTTGCAGTATAACAAACACCTGTTTGTGCACATTGGGCAGTCAAGCCCCAGCTACAGTGACCCCTACCTCGAGGCAGTGGATATCCGGCAGATCTATGACAAGTTCCCTGAGAAGAAAGGGGGCCTGAAGGAGCTCTTTGAAAGGGGGCCAGCTAATGCCTTCTTCCTTGTGAAATTCTGGGTAAGGGAAGAACCCTTTATGAGGTACCCGTTTGCTATGAAGTTCTCACTGTAAAAGCCATGACCTCGGTAGCTGTTAGGACTGTTGCATCCCAACAAATTTTCCGTCTGCAGACAACTTAATAGAGCCACAGCTGTCACTGGAGATCTTTCCTTGGCTGCACAGGCCTTCATTCTGGCCTGGAGCAAGATGTATCTTCACAGTGTCATCTGTAGAGTTGTTCTTGACTAGTGTCTGGAGATAGTATTTGCTAATGGTGACTTGGGCCCTTTAAAATTTTTAATTATGTGTAAGAGAAGAATTCAGAGGATATTATTCTCTGTGGACTCTTATGTGTTGCCTTCTCTCAGTCAGAGGCAACATTTTTCCATCTCTCCTCCTATCTAATTAGCTGCATTTTGAGTTCTGCAAGTACTATTTACAGGTGCATAATTACTGCAGGTACCAGGACAGACAAAAGATAAGAGAGACATAAAATGAAATTATATGCTGATAGTGTATTACTGGAATGACTTCTGGTAAGTTGGCAGAAATCAGCCTGGCAAAACCTACTCACTCAATTTGAATTTTTGTGAGTTAGCTGAAATTTGCAAGAACTGTGCCGTTGTGCTTCAGGGTACAAATAAAATAGTTTTGGTGATCGATACTATCATACATATTACAAGATTAAAAATAATAGCAGCTTGGGGCGGTTGCATGCTAGACAGCTGAGGGAATGTGCAACAGGATTTGGAGCCTTTCGCCTTGAGTTTACCACTTATAATTCAACTTATGTCAGGAGTGAGATGATAAATGAGCTTTCATATCTCATACTCTTCATACGAACTGACCGTAGAAAGCCTCTTAACTTGTGCTTTCAGGAGGAGGAAGAGTTAAGTGCCTTGAGATGAAACTTCCCAGCTGTCTCCAGTCTAGCCTTTCCAGAACTGAGTTGGAGAACATTGGCTGGGAGTCTGCTGTTCAAGTGTCTGGAGTTTAGAGCGTTAGTTCCTGGTGATTCTTGGAGACACATAATTTTACTCCTTTCAGACTGTGTGCTACCAAACCAGGCCCCTCATGGGATTGGCCTTTGTCAGGGAACAACAAAGCCTGCTTGGGAAGATTGAAACAAAAAGTGAAAGACCAGCCCTGTTCTGGTGGAAGAGAAATACTTGGGAGAGATGGTAGCACCTTGCTGAGAAGGGTATTTTTTCACAAAATCTAGGTAGTGATTGCCCCAGGAAGAACCGTCTGGTCAAAGGAAAAAAAGTAAGAGGGTATAGCTTCTAAGAAATGGTCCTTGGAAAAGTAGAGGCCGTGACAGCTGCTTCCTGCTGTGGGACAGGGATCCCAGGAAAGTCTTCATGTCAAGGTGAAGAGCACTGGCTCCTGTGTGGTATCGCTCTGATGTGCTTTGGAAGTTTCAGGAACCAAAAGGAAGAGCTTAGAGGGAGACATTACGTAGAGAGAGTAAACCCCTTTGAATTTCTTGACTTAAGGAGAGGGAAATCATAATGAAGTTGTGATCTAGTGCAACTGTAATTTTATTTATTTTGTTAATGTGCTTTTGTGTTTGTGGGGTTGGGTTTGGGGATGGCGTGTGTTTATTTTTTAATAGTGGAAGTGTAACTGTGGCCTACACATCGTGTCAGACCAACCTCGGTTAGGCTTTTGAAGGTATTACATGGTGGGATGTCATTAAGTTGGACTCTTTCTGGGCCCTTCTGAGGTGTGTGGTCTTCAGAGAGTATCAACTCACTGAAATTTGTCTTTCATAAAGACATATGACAGTCATGGTTTAGGCCCAGGTGGCAACTATGCACCATGCAGCCGCGGTGGGATGGCGAGGAGGAAATACAAGGAAAGGCTCATGGCTCAAGACAAGGACAGGGCGGGATCACTCACCAGTTATGGTCATGGGCAAAACAGACTCGACCTGGGGCAAAAAAAAAAAAAAAAAAAGTTACTAATCAAATCAGAGTAGGATAACAAGAGACAAAAACCCCAGATCTTAGAAACCTTCCACCCACTCCTCCCTTCTTCCCAGGCTCAGCTTTTGCTCCCGCTTTGCTACCTCTTCCCTACCAGTGGCACAGGGAGATGAGGAATGGTGGTTGTGGTCAGTTCATCACACGTCGTGTCTGCTGCTTCTTCCTCCTCAGGGGTAGGACTCCTCACTCTCCTCCCCTGCCTTTCTGCACTGACCTTGGAGTCTGCGTAGTCGTTTCTCTCACATCCCACTCCTCTCTCCATTGCAGGTTCTCTTTGTTTTCTCCTCTTAAATATATTAATCACAGCAGTGCTAATTGCTCAGCCTTGGCCAGAGGTGGGTGCGATTTGGAGCCAGGGAAGCTTCCAGCAGCTTCTCACAGAAGCCACCCTTGTGGTCCCCACCCCCTGCTACCAAAACTCCAGCACACAAACCCAATACGACGACGCTTTGAAACCCCTTTACTCCAGTGTGTATGTGATGTCCTGGGGCTCTGCCTCTGTACACTTATGTTGACAGTGATATTTCTGGGTTTTGTCTAATGTTTTGAATTTCTGATTCTTTTTTTGGTACTCTTGCATTGTTGAATGCCATCTGGAGTTAGCACCAGGTTTTATTGGTGGAAACACTACAGGCTGTCACTTACAAATAAGCCAAGTTTACACGTGTAGTTGTTGATTGAATGGAAGCTTCCAAGGCTTTTAATAAAAGTAAATCATTCAGTCTTGTATTTATTCCTCAGTGTATATAGTAACAGGGGATGAAAACACCATTCCTGATGCCAGATATTGGAGAAAGGATTGGGGTGCTTTTATGACTTGTGCTATTTCACACATTAATCCTGTTTTAAGATTCCAGCTATGATTTCTAAGGCAATATCTAGAGCAGTTCAAAAAACCTTTTGCGTTAGATAATTTGGACTGTTTTGAGGAAAACTCCAAAACTTTTTATTGTAAAACTTCATGTCCAAAATACTGTGTTATAGTTAAACATGCCCAAAATACTGTGTTGTAGTTAAACAAAGCATGAGCCATACCTGTAACGCGCCATGCTACATGTGTCATGGGATTTCCTGAGTTTGGTGTATTGCAGTTGATGTGTGTAGTAGAACCCCTGCACCAATAAACGCTTTTCACAGGTTTATAAAAACAGGTAACAGAAGAAAACTAGATTTCAGCTGAGATTTTTTATACCCCTCTGCATTTTTATACCTCTGTACGTGCTAGAGTGCTTTAGCATTTTGCTGCCTGATTGCTCTGGACAGCTAAGCGAATACAGTGTTGATGTCCTAAGATGTATTGGATAAAGCAATTACTACACTGTTGAATGTATAGCATCATTTTTGGATAAGAGTGTTATCTAAAAGCGATGATAACCTTAAACTTGGTGAGTAGAGATACATGGGGGTGGTGATGTGGAGGGGGAGGTGGGGGTTGTGATTTGAGACATGAAGATATGATTGATTTTTTCAAAAGTTCTGAATTGAAGTGGTGGTTGCAGGTGACAAAGCCTTAAAAAATCATGGCATTGAATAAGTTGTGTTTGTATAAATGTAGTTTTAGGTTTGAAGAATCTGAGGCAGGAACCTGCCATTACTGCACTAAGGAGTGAATATACCAGATCATCATAGAATCATGGAATGGTTTGGGTTGGAAGGGACCTTAAAGATCATCTAGTTCCAACCCCCCTGCCATGGGCAGGGACACCTTCCACTAGACCAGGTTGCTCCAAGCCTCATCCAGCCTGGCCTTGAAGACAGTTAGGGATGGGGCATCCACAGCTTCTCTGGGCAACCTGTTCACGTGCCTCCCCACCATCTCTGTGAAGAATTTCTTCCTGATATCTAATCTAAACCTCTCCGTTTTCAATTTGTACCCATTACCCCTTGCCCTGATGATCTGTTGTGCGCCAAAAGCCTGACTCTAAACACCAGGGCTGCGGTTTCTTGACGTCACTGATAGGTCTTAGGATCTAGTGTGACTGGGAAAAAGGTGTTCAGGTTTGTTCAGTAGCGCTTCAGATTATTTGTACGAAGAGTTAAAAGTCGACTAGTTTGAAACATGAGCAGTGTCTGCAATTCTTCCAAGATTTTGGCATTGGGAGTTTGGTACAATGAACTAACGTTTGGACTTGGATTGGCAGGTTGTATATTACCTCTGTGTGACATTTCTCTGTGCTCCAAGTGCATTCTAGCACACAACAATTAATGTGAGACATCAGTCTCCCAACACACGGGCCGTGGCGGCTCTGCTCTTTTCCAGTGTAATATTATCTCTACCACCTGTTAGGTCGTTCTCCCCGTGAACTCCTCCTGTGTGCATCGTTATTAATAGTTTGAGGAAGAGGCATTTTCAGAACTTTGCACATCAGTAGGATGGTGCACTTGCATCTTATATCTTTCAGAGGTTGTGAGACTCTGGGTGGAAGAGAGAAGGAAAATGACAAACCAGGAATTTAGGACAGGCAGTACTTTGTCCAGAGCAGCCATCTGCAGAGGGGTGGATCAGGAGAATTGCTTGGGAGACCTTCCTGCCCATGATGGATATGCGTAGTAATTTTTTCTCCTCAGTGATAGGCAAGCTGAACCAGTCAAATCACTGAGCATTTTCTTTCCAGTAAATGAACTGTACTTTCAAGTCACGGTGGGCTGGAGTCCACTGTCCTGCACTGCTCTTGGCTTCTCTCCTCTCCCAAGCAAATCCAGTCAAAGCAGCAGCAGTGCAAATGTCCCTCATCACCCTGCTCTCCCCACTGTATGCTTTCAGTCCTGACCTGGAAGAAACTGCGGGGAGAGCAAGGAGATGGTAATTTGGTCTCCATGTCCATTCTGTCCTTGGCACTCCTTCTGAGGCACCGCACAAGACAGTAGCTAGCAACAGAGACTTTTATGATCTTTGCACATTTTTTCTGAGAATGGATCTGACAGCCCATTGATTTCACGTGGAGTCACCAGCACCACCTCCTACCAGTTGCTGCCTTATGTAAGGGGACTGTCAATGGCACTTCTTTCGTCAAAGTTATTCCCCACAGT